ACGTCATTATTGGAGTTCATTTATGGCTGAGTTCTACTCTAAATAAACATTTTATATTAGTTTCAGCTCGCCAAACATTGGCGACAGCAATGCGTGAACTTCCCATCTAGTAAAGTTACTTGACAAAACATGAACTCAAGTAACGCACATTTAAGAATCCTAATATTTGATACGCCCCTTCCCCCATGTTACGTCACTGCACACTTTCTATTTAACGCCCATAAACTATATTAATATTCTCATGTCCCAACCACTTTTAAGGAGAATATTTTTTACACAATACTTAAATTGAGACGATTTCATTTCCGAAAAGAAAATATTACGCACCAAACGCAATTGCGTTATTAAAAAAATCTATATATCATTTAGCGTAGTTATCGGGAATTTTATTTTGCGCGCTATTGAACTCATTATTTAACCACACTCTGGCGTATCTATATATAGCCTGCGTGGTCGTGTTTGACCTTTGCTGGCGAATTATATATATAGATTCTGATGTCCCAACCACTTTAAACCGAATATTGATTACCCCATATTTAAATTGAGACGATTCCATTTTTCGAAAAGAAAATATTGCGCACCAAATGCAGTTGCGTTATTTAAAAAAAAAAAAAATCATTGATCGTAGTTATCGGGAATTATATTTAGCGCGCTATCTGGAACTGGAAGAAGTGACACCAGAAGCAAACTATATATAAGAGAAGAGATGATTTTGTTTCCTCATCCTCCTCATGTAGTCCTTGGACCGTTGGGGCGCCACAGATGACATGTGAATCATCCTCCTCATGTCCCTTAGTCCTTGGACCGTTGGGGCGCCACAGATGACATGTGAATCATCCTCCTCATGTCCCTTAGTCCTTGGACCGTTGGGGCGCCACAGATGACATGTGAATCATCCTCCTCATGTCCCTTAGTCCTTGGACCGTTGGGGCGCCACAGATGACATGTGAATCATCCTCCTCATGTCCCTTAGTCCTTGGACCGTTGGGGCGCCACAGATGACATGTGAATCATCCTCCTCATGTCCCTTAGTCCTTGGACCTTTGGGGCGCCACAGATGACATGTGAATCATCCTCCTCATGTCCCTTAGTCCTTGGACCATTGGGGCGCCACAGATGACATGTGAATCATATTCCTCCATTCCTCTCTGTCTTCAGCACTACGCACTGCATCGCCCGTGTTAGTCTTGTCCACTCTTTGATGTTATCCTCCCATCTGTTTCTTTGTCTTCCTCTTCTTCTCCCTCCTCTTGTGGTGCCCTGCAATATTTCTTTGGCAAGCCCTTGTTTCCTTGTTACGTGGCCGCACCATTGTAGTTTGCGTTATTTCACAGTCACCAGTAGGTCATCGTACTCCCCAATTGCCTGACGAACCCTTTCTTTCACTGCATCATTGGAGATATGGTCCCTATAGCAGATGCCCAAATTATAATTTTTTAATGTTGCCTTGGATCAAAATGTTTATTTATCTATGTGCTTAAAATAAATATGTACGAAGTAATCACACACAAAAATAAATCCATTTATTTGGATCAATAAAGAGTCTATCTTATCCTATATTTTTGTTCAGGGACATCTGTTATCATAGACAGGAAATCGAGTTCCACAGTGGTAAAGAAAGATACTTTAGGAGGTCAGATGTAAATTGATTCATAACTGACTGTAACATGAGCTAACATGGAATAGGTTTTGGTAGCTTGAAGTTACCATGGTTTTGTGTAGACCACAAATGAGTGGTAGTAGGATAAAATCAAAGTTTACTTGTAAAAGGATACTAGTTCAAGAGGCCAGATAAATAAGACAATGCCAGACAAGAAGCTGGATAGAGAAGACAATACCAGATAGAAGAGACAAGAAGCCAGATAGAGAAGACAATTTAGCGCTTCTGCTGACCGAATGCCCGTCACTAGATGTTTCAGTCGAGGCCAGGGTGGCAGGAGAGTCTTACGTTTTAACAATGTCGCACGGCACAGCCCAGCAGATGGAGCTGGTCGCCAATGTACTAGCCGACACACCCAAGCAGATGGAGCTGATTGCCAATGTACTAGCCGACACACCCAAGCAGATGGAGCTGTTTGCCAATGTACTAGCCGACACACCCCAGCAGATGGAGCTGGTTGCCAATGTACTAGCCGACACACCCCAGCAGATGGAGCTGGTCGCCAATGTACTAGCCGACACACCCAAGCAGATGGAGCTGGTCGCCAATGTACTAGCCGACACACCCAAGCAGATGGAGCTGATTGCCAATGTACTAGCCGACACACCCAAGCAGATGGAGCTGGTTGCCAATGTACTAGCCGACACACCCAAGCAGATGGAGCTGGTTGCCCATGTACTAGCCGACACAGCCCAGCAGATGGAGCTGGTTGCCAATGTACTAGCCGACACAGCCCAGCAGATGGAGCTGGTTCCCCATGTACTAGCCGACACAGCCCAGCAGATGGAGTTGGTAGCCCATGTACTAGCCGGCACAGCCCAGCAGATGGAGCTGATTGCCAATGTACTAGCCGACACACCCCAGCAGATGGAGCTGGTTGCCTACGTACTAGCCGACACAGCACAGCAGATGGAGCTGGTTGCTCATGTACTAGCCGACACAGCCCAGCAGATGGAGTTGGTAGCCCATGTACTAGCCGGCACAGCCCAGCAGATGGAGCTGATTGCCAATGTACTAGCCGACACACCCCAGCAGATGGAGCTGGTTGCCTACGTACTAGCCGACACAGCACAGCAGATGGAGCTGGTTGCTCATGTACTAGCCGACACAGCCCAGCAGATGGAGTTGGTAGCCCATGTACTAGCCGGCACAGCCCAGCATATGGAGTTGGTTGCCCATGTACTAGCCGTCACAGCCCAGCATATGTAGCTGGTTGCCAATGTACTAGCCGGCACAGCCCAGCAGATGGAGCTGGTTGCCAATGTGCTAGCCGACACAGCCCAGCAGTGGAACTGGTTGCCTTTGTACTAGCCTGGATTTTATAAGCGTAAACTCAAACCATCAACAAAATATGTATTTTATTTAGTAGGCCTCAGCTTGCTGTTTTAGAGAACTCTTCATTCAAAGTTCTGTCCTGTTTTGTGGGAATGCCATAGCATTAGGAAATCTTAAAAAGTGACACTAGGTGTAAGCTGTCCAAAGCTTTCTCAAAGTCAACGAAGATATTGTGTAGAGATACATTGCTTTCCCTGATTCTGCTCTAGAATTTGACTGTAACTGTAAGACAAAGATGTGATTAATTTCTAAAGCCAGCCTGTCCCTAAATCGTTGTTTTCTCAACTGCTGTTGTAATTCATTATAGGATACGTCTTCACTTGTAGGATATAACCTTTACTTGTAGGATACGTCTTCAGTTGTAGGATACGTCTTCAGTTGTAGGATATGCCTTCACTTGTAGGATATACCTTCACTTGTAGGATATGCCTTCAGTTGTAGGATATGCCTTCAGTTGTAGGATACGTCTTCAGTTGTAGGATACGTCTTCAGTTGTAGGATATGCCCTCACTTGTAGGATACGTCTTCAGTTGTAGGATATGCCTTCAGTTTGAGGATATGCCTTCAGCTGGAGGATATGTCTTCAGTTGTAGGATATGCCTTCAGTTGTAGGATATGCCTTCAGTTGTAGGATATGCCTTCAGTTGTAAGATACGTCTTCAGTTGTAGGATATGCCTTCCGTTGGAGGATATGCCTTCAGCTGGAGGATATGCCTTCAGTTGTAGGATATGCCTTCACTTGCAGGATACGTCTTCACTTGTAGGATACGTCTTCACTTGTAGGATACGCCTTCACTTGTAGGATACGTCTTCAGTTGTAGGATATGCTTTCACTTGTAGGATACGTCTTCAGTTGTAGGATATGCCCTCACTTTTAGGATATGCCTTCAGTTGTAGGATACGTCTTCAGTTGTAGGATATGCCTTCACTTGTAGGATACGTCTTCAGTTGTAGGATATGCCCTCACTTGTAGGATATGCCTTCAGTTGTAGGATACGTCTTCAGTTGTAGGATATGCCTTCACTTGTAGGATACGTCTTCAGTTGTAGGATATGCTTTCACTTGTAGGATACGTCTTCAGTTGTAGGATATGCCCTCACTTGTAGGATATGCCTTCAGTTGTAGGATATGCCTTCAGTTGTAGGATATACCTTCACTTGTAGGATACGTCTTCAGTTGTAGGATACGCCTTCAGTTGTAGGATATGCCTTCAGTTGTAGGATATGCCTTCACTTGTAGGATAGGCCTTCAGTTTGAGGATATGCCTTCAGCTGGAGGATATGCCTTCAGTTGTAGGATATGCCTTCGTCACCGACGGTTGTTGCAATCAGATGGAGGTCCTTTTAGACTATTTATTCAGCAGTTAGATGTTGTTTCAAAAATTGCATTTCGCGGATGTTTTATTTCAGCTTAAATGCATTGTATTCTAAACAAAACCTGCTCTCCACTCAGTGGCGCAGCAAGTGTCACCCGGGCACAACCTTCGAAAGCTCTGGTAGGTCTAGGTCGGGGTGGGCAAATATTCCACCAGCTCTATGACAAATAACACGGTAGTTGACCAAAAGTGATGCCCCTCAATATATAGACAAATGTGACGCACATGGCAAACCGACTCCTTACCTACGCCAGGGTTTCCCCTTCCAGTTCCATGCAAATGGCATTTGAATTGTCAGTGGATGAAATATAGAAATTATAGCCCAGCATACAAATAATTAAATACAAATCAAACTGAAAATAAAATGAAAGCTAGCAAGGTACGACAAGAATGTGCTTTTATTAAAAATGACGTCAAGCTTAAAATACAAAAAGGTGGGTGGGGGTGTCACGATTTTGTGTCGATGAATAATTAATATTAGCTTTATTTTAATTTTAAGTATAACCTTCTCTTGACTCATAGTCACCAATCGTCTGACAATTCGCTATATACTGTAATTTATCCAGCTTTTTTTTTTCGCCTTTTTTAAAGTAAACGGTTATAGTTTTTAGATGTTCAACCACCATTAGAGTACCAGTTTATTTTCCGATCCTATCTTTTACACTGGTGACCTACGGCAAACAAAATGTCTACAACATTCAGTCCCCCAAAGCAGAACATTTCTCCGTTAATTAGGGTAAGTGCAGCTATTTAGATTATACAAGTTCCTTTTAATTTTTAAAAAAATATTTTAACGAGTTCTTCCTGTTCCTATATTTGCAACACGATCATGATTGATTGCCAATCAAAATCGTACTAATCATATTTAAATACTTTATTTAACTTTAGCCTAACTTTACAGTTTACTAGACTAAGAATAAGAAGTAGTTAGGACAGGCGTGTAAATAAATTGTTAATTTCAGAATTGTTTGAATTAAACATTTTGTAAAAAATAAACCATTCTCATATAGATGAGTTATTGAGTAGAGCTAATTTTTTTTTTTACAGAATTTGAACACCAAAATCATATTTTTTTTTTTAGCTGTTGTAGTTGTAGTTTTAAAGAGTTATGAAATTTTAAAGTAGGACCTCATTTGTTCTTTTTTTAACATGGGCCGCATCTCCACATTCTGTGACCTAATTCAGCTGTTCGCGTCACCACCCTATTCCGCTATTCGCGTCACGAGCTATATATAGGGACCTCGGTATGATCCGGGAAGTGCCGAAAATAGGGTATCGTGATTTCGTTGTCAAAATGGCGACCTCCACTTTTTAATTTACCAAGGGTAGAGTTGTTTAGGATTATTTTTGCTAAAGTTAGTTTTTTAATAAATTCTACTTCTGCCCTCAACTTAAAGCAGACATGTTTCTTGTTCATTTGAAACTTTCCTTTTAGAAAAAATTTGATGGTTTGACTTTGAAAATTAATGGTAAATAATAGCTAATTTGACTCATTCATAATTTTTTTGTGGAAAATATAAGTTTAAAAAAAGAAAGGCAGTGTCTACACGTCCGGCGCGCCGGACGTCTATCTCCCGCACTATGTGTCCGGCGGCCAAGTCACATGACCGCCGTAACAAAGTGGCGAGATATCTTGTCGGTCAGCCTTGTCACGTGACTGCGAATAATTCAAAACTATTGTTAATTTTAAAATCTATTTCTCTACCAAGTAATGTACTGAGTATCTTGAATGCAAATAATAGAAAAAGAAACTTAAGTGAAAGTGGCTTGTAAACATTTTTGTTTAGTTTGTTATTTGAGTTTGTGTACCAGTAATCCATAAAATAAATTAGGGGCCAGTGTGGAGTAGGCGTAGGCAACCAATAAAAGTTAAAGTAAAAGATTTCATTTTAAATTATTTCAATTGCTACAAAATATTTCAAAACTTCTCATGAAACTACTGTTGCTGAGGAACATGATAATATAAATATATACAAAATATTTTAATTAAAATGGGAAGAAAAAAAACGACCCTATCCCCGGTATAGATCCTCAAACCTTCCTATCGTCAAGCAACCTCTCTAACACAAGACCAGACAAGATGTACTATACAGTACTTCGTTTGGAATTATAAAAACTACTAGCCGTCCGGCCATGTCCGGCAGTCACGTGACCAGCCGCCGGACGTATATCTTGCTCACTACACGTCCGGCGCGCCAGACGTGTAGACACTTCGAAAAAGAAAATACCAATGTTAGATGAAGGCATAATTAACAACATATCCAAAATTCGTGAGGTTAGGACCAGTGCATGGGTGAGAAATTTTTGCACAAAAATTTGGTCACGTGTCCCAAAATTACCTATTATGGCTAATGAACGTTTTTGTAGTAAGTAGCTTGATTTACACTGGAAATCCAGCATATTACCCACTAATAATATTTTAAAACAAAGCAACAATTTAATAGCTCTAATTACTTTTATCTGATGCTTTTATTTTGAGTGGGGAATTGGGATAAATAGCCCTATCCTTATTGTATGATAACTAATATTATAAATAATTAAATATATATATATATATATCCATCCATCCTATAAGCCTAGTATAGTATAGCCTATAGTGGCCTATAGGTCTAGTACCATCCCAACTTATTATTGCAAGACCTATTAATAAACAATTAACTATTATAGTTAATGATATTTTAGGCCATGTAATCAAATTTTATTATTTAATTTATTTTAATGCAAATCATGATTCTTAAATTTTAAAATAAAAATGTTTTAAAAAAATATTCACTTACCTTTGATATTGAAATATCCTGAATTCACTCACAAATCACAATATTCCACAAGAAACTTATATAATCCTCAGTATTCTTACTTAAAGAAATAACACACTTTCTGATACAGTAATCCAAGAATTTCTTAAGCTTTTACTAAAGAACAATCATAAAAGCTTGTACTTACCTCAAGCAAATGACTTAGAACTTATTTTAATTTCTATCAACAGCCAAAGTTAATACATGTTGATTTGTGAAACAAAATTACTAATTTTTTGGTCATATTCAAATGGGACTAAAATACATACATAGAAAATGGTAAAAAAAAAAGTATAATCGTCAATTTTATATAAATGAATCAAATAATCCCTGTATTATTTGTTTATACTGATAAAAGTTAAACAATTCCACAGAAAATTTGAAATTAATATCTAAAGAATATTATTATTATTATTAAATTAGGGAAATTTTAAACATTTATATTTAAAAAATATTAATTAATTAAATACAAGTAAGTGACGAGTCAGCATATTTTATTCATTTTCATAAGGAAAATTATCAAGATTAAAAATATTTTTTTGCGGAATATTAACAAAAACTAAAATTGTATTTTGTGGCTTTATTTAGAAGAACTCATATTTAACTGTGTTCCCTCAAAGTATCATATTTTTGTCTCATTTTATAACAAAGTTATAGGCATACAAACAATAGCAATATGAGGGTGACGAAATGTGGAGGAAAATCCCATAGTGAAAAAGGGGTTTTGAGGTCCTTACTAAAAAATTTATAACTTTTGAACCACTTCAGCTAGAAAGTTGATCTTGGTGTTTTTGTAAACCATTATATTTGCTCTATACAGCTGTAGTATTTTTATATTTTTAAAAATGTTTTGAAATTTTAATCAAAGTGCCTACTATATAAATCTCGTTTTAATGATAATTTTATACGACTTTTAACTTATTTAGAACTAATGCTGTACTGTATTAAAAAATAATGTCAATAGTCGTACAATTATAGATAAATTGTAGCTTATCTAACTATGCACTATTATGCATATCAGTAAATTTAATATTTATAATGTATTAATTATTAATATATCGCTTTTCCGTTCACCAAATCTACTTTGTCCACTATACCGGTATATATGTTATATAGACTATATAAGGCTAAGCTTACCCTTCTAAAATACTGTTTGGGGGCTCCTTATTTTGTACTTTTAACTTTGGCACAAGACTAATTATTTAAAGCTTTCCCTAATCATTGGTTTAATAGTTTTTTCACACTGTAAACTTTTATGAATGAAACTCTGAGATAGAACTACGGTATAGCCTTTATGCAAGTGACTGTGAATGGCTGCCCATGGCCATGACGTTTTGCACACAGCAAAATATGATCATTTATAATATGGACTCTACCAGGTTTTTAACCTCAAATTAAAATATTATTGTTAAAATTACATCTAAGTTCATTCTAAAACACAATCAAATATTATGATTTAAATAGTTATTTATTAATTTTATTCATCAAAAGATATAATTTATTTGCTTTACAGCAATAATATATAAATAATTCATCCAAATTAGCATTACATCATTCTCTATATTTAAAAAAAAAATATCACTCTGTCACCACAAGTATTTTTTAAAATTAATTTGACACTCTTGGAGCCAAAATGATTTTAAGTGTTCCTTAGACACTCTTGGGGTCCGGACTATATTTTTAACAAAAATATGAAAAAATTTCTATGCAATACTGTTTTTGTAGCCAAAAAAAAAAAACAGGAACAAACAATATAACATTTAAAATGAAAAGGCATTTAATCAACATAAACTTTTTAGTAAATCAATACAAGTTACGAGCCTGCTTTTGAATAAAAAGATGCTCAATTTACAGTTCCATAATTTGCGGTACTGCTACCTGGGTAACCATAAGGGGGCCTGCTGGGTCGGATCTAGCTCGTGAGCCATAGTCCGAGGACCTCTGATGTAGACTTTAGACCACAAATGTTGCCATAATGGCAAAAGATGGAGTGAGATTAATTTTTTGTACTTGTTGTAGTACGGTTGGTTAAATGGTCATTATTACAGAGAGTATTTGCATAGTAAGATCCATGATGAAGCCTAGAAATAATAAAATAAGTTTATTTAATAAAAGACACAATTTCATTTGTATTGAATTTACAATGCTAAAATACGATTTACCCTAATATATTTGAATATTTTTTTTAAATTAGGTCAGAATGGAAATATTTTATTATAGCCAGGCCTATAATATGTCTATATGTCACCAAATTATTTTTTCAAGTCAAACCATGCTGATGCACTGACTTAAAAAAAGAAGAATTTCAAGTAGCCCCAACTTCAGTTCTTGTTTATAATAATATAACTAGCCTTATGTTCAAAACATTACGAAATTATCAATAAATCAATCTATAGTTCTAGAATCTTAATTAATGTATGGGGTATAAGCAAGAAATAATGATGATGAATATATTTATTCATGCAAATGGTTGTATAATCAAAATTGCATGATATCATTAAAAATACTATCATAATAAATATTTGCATGGTTAAATTTAAAAACAATTTCTGAATCATTTTCCCTTTGTCCTATTTTGTTTTCCTTGCATTTTGTTAATCTTGTATCACTAAATAAAATGTTGAAATTAATTTCTAGTTCTCTAGGTGGACTGCTCTGTTTACTGGTATTGTCTATGGAGTTTACAGATATAGTAAGAAAGTATTTCTTATATATGTAGAAGGGTTTTTAAAGAAATAAATTATTGAGTCTGGTTTTATGTCTTTGATTTTTATTAAATCATTTAGTGACTTCTTTCCATTTAAAATTAATTGAAGTTGAAGTTATTTTGTTAAAACTCCATATTGTTTGATAATAAGTACTTTATCTCACTTCTATCTGTATTATTAAAGCTGAAAGTATAAACTTAATTTGCATTGTGAGTGTATTCATCTAGTATTGTCAAAATCTACTTTGACTTGTTTATTTTAGCTTTCTCTGGGTTGATGAACTGACTATTTATAATATATAAATTTTATCCCCTAGGATACTTGGCTCGAAGAGAAATTGACATTCAGAAGCATGAATCTGAGATATTAGAAAAGCACAGGGAGAAGATGGCAATACTAAAGAAACAGAAAGAGACAGGTATGTGGTAGCTTTTCTACTGAATTGGAGATCTTCATGAGGCTAGGGTAGATAGGCTTTTATTTACTAAAAAACTAGAGACTTGGATATGCAAATTGCAAAATTGACCACTGTACTTATAAAAACATATTTATGCACATTATAGTGTCAATATCAAGTGATTCAAATATTGATGATAAAAGGGTTAAGAATTGAGTATGATATGAAAAGAGGATACGTTTTAACCATTTTAAATAATATATAGGGTCTTATATTATAAAGTATTTATATTTAAATTTAGTAAATAAGTGGCTATAAAATATTGTCTATTTTACTGAATATTGTTTAATGTTCAAGTATTACCTGTATTGAAATTAATTATACTCTGCTAGCTGTATCCAATTTATAAATTTAATTTTCACAAATTTCACTTATTTTCATAAATGACAAAAGATTATGAAATAATCAATTTAAAAAAGTGTGAACCAAGACGCTTTTGAATTAATTATCAGTATAAAATCTTTGTTATAAAAAAACAACAAAATGTCAGTTTCATGGAAGCCAACTCACTACCTTTGTATACTAAATACAGAAATGTTTTCATTTGGAAATTTAGTTGGTAAATATTTGTAATGTAAAAGAACCTTAGCATATATATCCAGACATACAGAGGTAATTGTATGTTTTGATTGAAATAGCAATAAATAACAAATTATTAATGTATTTCATATTCTCTCCCTTTACAGAGGAAATGAATGCTCTAGGAAGAGAGGCTGGTGTAGCAGCAAAGTAAAGATTTATCCCTTTATCTTTTATTTTGGAAGTAGATTTTTTAAAATATAATTTGCAAATGTGAAGAAAGGAGCATTTGAGGATCCATAGTCTTATAAATTATGAATGTTTGTGGAAATAGAATGTCTTTATATGAAACATATGACCTGGTAAAACAGAATAAATGTTTATAAATTCACTTTTTCATTTTTCTTTTTTTGTGTGGTCTTTTTGCTGTATTTGTTACTATTGAAAACATATAGCCAATATCTTGCACAGGAACTGAAAAAGCAAGCATCCTAAAAGGTGCGGGGGCCACCAGGTATATGCCTCCAGAGACGGGTACAGATATCAAGATACCAGACTATTCAACTATTGAGGCTACTTGCAATCACCCCACTTTCCCAAAAGCCGTTTATCTAGTAAGAACACATACACACACAGACAGTTGCTAGAATAGTGTTTTATTCTGAGAATGCTAAAAGTAATGATCCTCTCTTTAGAATTTATGGCCCTTAAATCATTCTTAATTCTTTGATTTCTTTAAAAGGCATCGCCCCCAGCATTTAATGACCACCAAACTAAGAAATAGTCTCAAAATTGCTCTCACTTTTGGGAAAGCAGTATGGCTCTTTCCCTTATACATAGTTGAATAAAGGTCTGTTTGTGGCAGGAATTCTTCTGTGGGCCTATGGTTTTAACAAATGAAAGTGTCAAAGTTCATTGTTTGTTCAAGATCAGGGGTCTCAAACTCAAATCATCCGGGGCCGCATGAGGTAGTGTCTGAGTGAGACTGGGCTGCATCAAGTATCCCGCTAAAGTGCGATTACAAATTCAATAAAGTACAACTGTTGCAATCTTCTCAAACTTTATTAATATAATATTATTAATAAATAAAAACATTCAGGGCTCTCAAGAACTAGACTTCACTCTCTTACTCCTTGGTGCCAGAGATCTGGCAACGCTTCTTTTTACACAGCTGAGCAACATTTGGCTTGAGTGAGGAAGCAACTGAGACCCTCAGTATAGCTGGAAGATGCTCATCAGTAAGTTTGGCCCTGAACTTTGACTTGTTAAAGTTCATAGTGGAAAAGAGCTTTTGACATATATACTATATATATATAGGTACTCCCTAAATTAGCACATGATCTGCTTGAACAACCTGGAAATCTCAAGGAAGGTGGAGGGCAATAATCTCATAAATTGTCCATTCTTGTCTATTTTTTCATTGACCTCCCTGAATTTAGCATAAGATCAATCAAAGCGCAAAGAAAAGAAGAAACAAAAAGGGGGAGGGGGCAATGGCATCATCCACATTAAAGGAGAAGAGCTAAGCTAAAAGTAGAATAGTGGCTATTTGTCGTTTAAAGTCTGCAAACATGTGATCAAATTCTTCCCCGTAGGTTTGCAATGGCATCAGTATACTTACTACTGAATGGCCAAGAACCGTAACACAAGTTTTGTGCATAATGCCCTGACATTATAGACAGCACTGACAAGCCACCCCTGGTCTTGTAACATCTTGTTAAGCACATTCGGCTACTGTGTAACGTTACAAGAAAAGCCAAGTCCATGAGCCACTTGTAATCATTTAGTACAGGAACAGCTTTTAGTCCGATTTTAAAACGGTTTTTACTATAATCAACAAACAATAAGAATTAAGAATTAGACTGGTCGGTAAGATACGACTGAAACCGTCGAGGTGGGTCACATTATAGATATGAGAATGGTAAAATGCGTGGGCCGCATTGAGTCTAAACTTTGCTGTCATGTAGCGGGCCGCAAAATATCGTATTTCTTTAGAGCGAGTTTATCTAATGCATCAGTAGCACTAACATTTTCTGGTCGTTTCCTTATTCCTGGCCTAAAACAATTATATCAATTTTTGAGATGATGACTTTAGCTTATTGTTCAAGCTCATCAAACATTCTCTAATTTTCTTTCAAAGAAACTCAAATGAACTGCACAAAGCTCCACAAGTACCAGGTACTCAAAAGTTGTTTTGATTTTGTCAACAGTTTTATTGACTTATGAAAAATAACGTAACAAGGCACCAAAAAATGGGACAAACAAATTCTTTAATTTTTTAAAGAAAAAACAAATTGCCTAACGTTTGTTACCGGTACCACTGTTTCCTTTAACATGAAAGTATATTGTGTAAGTGCAGGGCCGGCCCTAACAATTGCGGGGCCCTATGCGAAACGGATTGCGCGGGGCCCAGTCTGGGTAGGGATAAGGATAATAAGTGAAAATTCAGATTTTGTATTAGAAAAAAAAGTGCGGGGCCCACTGCGGCCGCATAGGTTGCAGTGGCCTAAGGCCGGCCCTGTGTAAATGCTTCTGTGTTGGCGTTATTACTGTAGTTTTCCAAAACAGCCTGTGACAATAGATGTGAAAATTGTTAATGAGGTTGCTGTGATAATTTTAAAACTTCCCATCCCTTTAAAACAGTGGTTCCCAAACTTTTAAGTTTGGCGGACCGGCGAACAAGTTTCGAAATTTTACCAGGGACCGGTGCATGATTTATTTTTGTACTTTTATTTCTATTTGAAAATAAATATTTATATTATGGGGACCGGCAGCGTTAGGCATGCGGACCGGTGAAGGTCCACGGACCGCCATTTGGGGACCACTGCTTTATAAGGCTTTGTGGAGGATGACGAGATATCATGAGTCATTTAAATTACACAAACCGTTCATTGCATCAAGACAATCAACAGCTGATTAAACTTGTTGATCTTTTTTGTGTGTGTGTTTTTTTGTTTTTTTTGTTAACATTTTATTTTTGCATTGATTTTTGGCCGCGCACCATTGTGCCTTACGAGTCATGTTGGCACACCATTGTGCCTTACGAGTCATGTTGGCACACCATTGTGCCTTACGAGTCATGTTGGCACACCATTGTGCCTTACGAGTCATGTTGGCACACCATTGTCTTATGACAGGCATTTTTTAAATGTAATCACTAACGAAATAAGAAATCGGCCACACCCCGGCTCTAGAGGTCAGAGGTCAGGAATAGGACAGGTCAAGTTTTCCTCGGCTCTAGAGGTCAGGAATAGGACAGGTCAAGCTTTCCTCGGCTCTAGAGGTCAGGAATAGGACAGGTCAAGCTTTCCTCGGCTCTAGAGGT